AGTGACTTCAGGTTGTTGAGGAGTGATTGAGTCTCCAGCTGTTAGTCCTGGAAAAAGAAAGAAGAAAAGTAGTGAAATGCAGTCTGTATATCTGCTTAATGCAGCAGCTTCAACTAAACTTTAATCCCTGTTCTTAAACTCACCTATAATGTGAGATAGAAGCAAAAAGAGGTGCAGCAACATGTCTTTGGAGTTATTAAAGCCAGACAGACAGCACATGAACAATGTTCTTCCACTGCAGCACAATGACCAACAACTAATGTCATTGGATGAGCTCAACTTCAGTGGGCGGGGCCAGTTTAATAGCTGAGCCAATCAAACAGTTTTGTGCTTCCACAGCAGCTCTGTCTCTGTCTCTGATCGTTACAGCTTCATTTCTCTGTTGTCTTTGTCATCAGTCCAATGACACAAGAATCAGAGGTTTAACAGTGTGTGGCTCCCTCTAGTGGATGTTGTGGAGTATTCTGTTGTCTTTGCTCCAAAGGTTTTTGTACAGAGTTTTGCTGTTTCCTGTCACTGTGGGCTTCAGAGCACAGTAGTACACAGCAGAGTCAGACACTGCAGCAGAGGAGATCTCCAGATGAAACTCCTTTTTTTCTTTGTCATGTATAAACTTCAGCTTTTCTGTTTTCTCTGAATAGTAGGCGATGAGAAACTCTGGATGTGAATTAGGTTTCTGTTTGTACCAGAAGAAGTAAGTTTCAGAGCCTGAATAGTTGCAGGAGAGAGTCACAGTTTCTGCTTCCAAACTCATCACTACATCTTTAGATGGTGTCAGTAAATCCTCAGAGGATCCTGAAAACAACAAAGACATATTTCACCATCATGTTTCTGCATCTTTAAACTTAGTTTATAAAAAGTGAATCAATTCAAACAACATCCAGATATTTTCATGTCCATCATCTCCTTTTACATCTCACTCCATCTTTTGATGACTCACCAGTCTGAAAGGAGACTATCATCATCCAAATGAAAAGCAGCAACATGATTTTCTCTTGGACTGAATGAACAATAGAGAGAACACAGCAGCTCTTCAGCTCCTACATGAAGCCTTTCATGTTCACTGCTGTAGCTCCTCCTCTTGCTGAGCTCTGTTTCCATTCAAGCTGATGAAGCTTTGACAGTGATGCTGCAGTCATCATCATCATCAAGAAGGTCAGACTGAAGGAGGAGCCTGCAGAGCTCCGACTGCATCCTGCACACACAGTCTGACTGAAACATGTTCGAGCAACAAAAAGAAGTTTACCAAGTTAACAGCACAGAGCTTCAATTATAGTTTTAAAATGAGCAACAATAAAACTTCTGAAACTCCTGACAGTGTTCTTGTTCTAAGACACCAACTGTATTTGGTGAGACAAACTTACTCTTCTCTGCGTTTAATCGTTAGTTGTTCATCTCTGGCTCTCTGCCACAGCGTGACTTTGTCCTGGCTTCCTCCTCTCACCTGATGACCGCCCCTCCCTGAGCCTTTTCCTGCTTGAAGTTTATTCCTGTTAAAAGGGAGTTTTTCCTTCCCACTGTTGCCTGTGCTTGCTCATAGGTGTTCATGTTATTGTTGGGGTTTTCTCTCTGTCTCTGTTCTTAATACTCCACTGAATGTCTGTTTGGAAGTTTCTCCTGAGATTTGCAATGATTTTCTGAACTTTTTATTGAAAAGGTTGTCACCACCAGGGCTCTTATCACAGCTCCTGACTCTGA